CACAGTGTTAGGATACAGCCAGGCAAGTGTCCTGCCTAGAGACTTAAATGCTGGTTATCTCCTGTCCTGCCTGTAGCCCAGAAGGAGGAATGCACTGCAGAGGAATTGCCAGTAAAGTGTAGAGGAAGGAGGAAGGCAGGTGTGGAGGATGCCTTATTTCCTCTGTGGCTGCTGTCAGTTTTCTCCCTCAGCGGTCCAGGGGGTCTGCAGTTTGTCAGAGACAAGGGAGAGAGCTCGGGAGCAGGAGTGGGAGCAGGACATGCTCTGCAAACACAGCGCCTGCACTTTTGAAGGTGTGTGCTCTGCAATGGGTAATTTGCTCCTTTATTGTCTGCAGAATAACAGCAGTGACAGCATTGACTTTCTCTAATGAACAGCTGCTCAGTGCTAGCATCTATTCCCGGAGGAGGCTCGCAGGGATGAATAAGGTTTCATGCTCCTCCTCCAGAGAGGGTGAGAAAGTTCACAGAACACAAGATTGTGGCTTGATTGTTGGGTATCTCCGGCTCCTGAACTGCTGACAGCTGAGAGTTGAATGTGTCACCATGCAAGTCATGTTTCACCTTCCAGCACTTTCGCTGAGGCAGGGTGTTTATGGAGTCGGGAGAGAGGTGTTAGTTCCCGTCCAAGAAGTCACCCTCTTGTCACTGCAAGCGACCATCACAAATTGGCCGAACAGACCCCACTTTCCTCCTGTTGCTCTGCCTCAATCCTTTGCTGATGCTCTGCACTAACAAGAGCAGGGAGGCAGGAGGGGATGGCTGATGAATTATGGATGCTGTAGAGGCAGAGCCACATTGTAAACTCTTAGAGTTTGAAATCACTCGTGTATCTTATAGCTGAGGCTATCACATCAAATAAACATTTTGAGCTTTGTCCCAAGCCTCCTTCCAGATCCTTGCTTAAAGCTCCCCTGTCATCCCAGAGCTGTGTTTAGCACCCTACAGCTGGCTTTCTTTCAGTAAAAGAGGGTAAGGGCAAGGAGTCCACAAAGGTGACAGCAAGTTTTGATATGAATCCATGGGTTGTTCCTTGGGCTGTGCAAAGGTTTTGCCTAGAGCAGCTTTGCCACTTGGAGAGACAAAACAAAGCTGAGGAGGAAGAGATCTCAAAGCCCAAGTTTTAAATAGCAGCACTGTGACAGCTTCTAGTGCTGCAGAACAGGCAGCATGGCGCAGGTGCATTCAGTGACCTGTTTTGTTCAGGCACTCAAAGATGTTTTGGAAGCTGCAGCTCTTTTTTCCTTTGTGTTCTAACAATATTCCCTCTTGACCCGAACTTCTTGTAATGGCAGTGGAGGCAAAAAAAGAGAAGATGATGGTTTTTACTCTTTGATGTTGGTTGGAATCCCTGTGTGGAGGTTTCCCTGCTTAGCTTAGTTCTTGGGAACTCTTCAAACCCAGTTCATAGCAGTTAACCTGTGAGCCATCCTGTCCAGCCAGCCTATTGAGATAGCAAGTGGGAAATGTACTCTAAAGAGGGCTCAGTTTAAAGAGGAGCTTGACTTGTAGACTTGCTTTGACAGACCCACAGTGAAATACAAAGCTGGAGAGAAATGAGTTTGTGTGTGCAAGCGGTGTAAGGGGCATTCATCCATGCACACACGCAGGAATGCACTGGGAAAGCAAGCAGAGCTGTTTGGTTTTGTAATACAGTTTCAATAAGAATCAGCAACAAACAGACATGGGGGCTGGGATAATGTGTTTCCCAATAGTTTTTCAAGGCTGAAGCCAGAGTTTTGTCTACGGGAGAAGGAAGCAGAAATGGATGTTTGAGCTACAGATGCCTGTGGCTGTTACCGCTCTTGGTTGTCAGGGGAGCACTGAGTTTGACTGTCAGGAAGCCCTCATACTAACTCTCTTTCTACCTTCTACAAGGTAAGCATGGAGCTGTTAAGTAGCTGGTTGGTGCAGAGCACTTTGTGTCCTGGGACCCTTTGGGTCTCCAGGTCTGGTTTCTCCTGGCTGGTTACGTGGCCATCAGTGAGCTCCTGTTCTTTCCCTTCCAGAGCACCCACATTGCAGGATGGGCAGCACCAGAGGGAAGGGTGGCACATGATGCTGCACATGAAGCGTTTCCTTGGTCCTTCCCCAGTCAGGAGAAGTCTGAGGCCCCAAGGAGAGGTGAAGCTATGGGCTGTGCCTTTAGAGCAGCACTTCATGGTGGCTGTGCTATACCAGGAGGTTGCAGAGTTGGGCTGATGGCTCCTGGGGCCATTTCAGAGTGAGGGTTTGTGCAGCTCATAAAACCCCTCTCCTAGTGACTGACAGCACTACAAGGCAGCTGTCCAGGGACCGAGTGATGTGGAACAAGAGCTTCACATGGAGTTTCTATAACCTGTAAAGTGCTTTTGCAAGCCGGCACCTAGGGCCATGCACCTGAATGCAACAGACAAGCATTTAAGTCAGGTTTGAGGAGCTTTCTCTCTTCCTCTGCCCTAAGCGTGGTAGAGAAAGCTGCTTGGAAATCTGGCAGGGGATATATTGCCATCTGGTTGGTGTTATTTTTTACTCTACATTTCCTTTTTCCCCCAGCACTGCAGAAAAGAACAGCTTCTTTTCTCCAGAGTCTACCCAGCACTGTGGCCTTCCTGGAATGGCTGCTATAAAAGCCTTTTCCTTCTGGTGCTTTATCAAGTGTTCCCTTCCAAATCCTGGCTGGAAAGCTCCTCCTTGGTCTTTCTCTGATGTTGCCTCATCCCTCTCTGCTGTATAGGTAAAGGGTAGAGGTCTCATGTGCTGGGCAGCCTCACTCACCCAGTCCATTCCTGCTGGAGTCCCTGCACTCAGTTGTTTTGCAGGAATAATGATTCCTCGTGGATTGCAGTGCTTTGTTGAGCTGGAGCTGGAGTTAAAGGAAAGCTGTTGGTCCAGAGAGCCTTGCGTTTCTCGGTGCTCCAGCTTACGTGCCTGTTGTGGAAGTTCTCGTGCCTGTTTTTGCATTAAGCCCATTTTCTGTCTCAAAATGGTAGTTCTCAAGCACAGCCTTGGTGCCGCAGTTAAGAGTGACCAGGACTTTGATCTGTTTGTCAATGAAGCCTCTGAATCCATAGTCTGATGTGGTTTCTTCTTGTTCCTCTTCTGTGCCCAAGTTGCCCTGCTGCGCCTGGACATGGTGGTGGTGAGGCTGATGGTGTTTGTAGGTGTGAATGCTGTGAACAGCTCATGTATGAGCGTAACAAGGCCCTGGCCGTGCTGGACACACAACAGGACGTTGTACATGCCTGTACACTCCAGGCCCTCTGTGTAGCACGCTTGTTCCACTGCAAGGATAGCTGGGTTGGCTTCTCCTTCGTGCCCCATGGCAGCTCCCATTGGTGGTGTTGCCCACAGCTGGGATTGCAGTTTAGTGTGGTCCAGCCGTTGCCCCAGTGGGGACCACCGGCGCTCCTCGGTCTCTGCTTCCATCTGCTGGACAAGCTCTGGCTCCTGCTCTCTCCTCTTTTCCCTTGGTGCCTCAGGGGTTTTGCTAGCTCCTTTTGAACTGTGCTCACATAATACTACAGATGGAAATCCCTTCCACACATGTATGGGCTGCAGGAATATTTCAGTGTTGGACCAACTCTGTTTGGCAAGACTACTGTGCTAGAGTAAACGGCAACAAGTCTGGAGGTGGGCTGAGCACAGGAGTGCAGCAGTGTGTAACCTCCTGCCATGCAGCAGGTCCGTGTGCTGAGGCCAGAGCTTCTCTGGTTTATATCACAAAGTCAGGTATGGGTGAATGTTGCTTGGATGCCACATGGATGGTCAACGTGGGCCAGGCCAGAGGTGCAGCATTGCAGCATCTCCAGAAGTGACCACAGCAGATGGTAGAGGAAAGCATGTGAAACAACTTGGGCAGGGAGGATAATGTGCTTTGCTTGGACATCTCCCTCAGCATCTGACCTCAGCCAGGGGTGTGGAAACATCATGGGCTGGGGACTGCATTGAAACCTTTGTATTTAACAGTCCTGGTAAATGGGTACTTCATGAGCTTGCCTGAACCCGGGTTTTGAACTCTGTTGTATCTTAGGACACTGAGGTTGTGCTGTGCAGAAAGATTCTGCTATTATTTGTTTGAGACCTACTGCTAACAACTTTCCTGCTAGTAGATCATGGCAGCACCCAGAGCAGCTCTAAGAATTGCTTGTGACTCATCTGCAGTTACTTCTCCTTTCACGAGGACAACAAAAGGGTCCCTCAGAGTTAGATGTACTTGAGAGAGCTGGAAGAATGGGGTTGCTGGGTTGTTGAGGGTTAGGAACAGTCTCGTCTGCTCAAGAGGGCTCCAGTTTTCATCTGACAACAGGAATTTGGTTACTGCAAAGGCATTTCCTTCACCTTCCCTTAACCCCTGCTCAGCAGTGGGCAGACACAGGCAAGAAGCTTCATTTCAAGCAAAAACCATCTCCATCTTATACTGAAGAAATTGTGCTATGCAGCCTATAAATCTTCCTGTAAGCGCTGCTCCATTTACTGTTGGCTTGGTCTGTGCACTTTCTCCTCCAGATGTGCAACGACTGATTCAGTTTTTGTGCCATCAGGTGAAGGCCTGGGCACAGGCTTGGCTTCTCTTTGCTGCCATTTACAGTACAGCAGCTGGATGTTGGAATTTGTTTGCCCAAGTTACTAGATTGTGTCGGAGCTCTTACAGTGCCTTGCCAAAGGGTGTGTTTGTTGCTCTGTTTGAGGATAGCGGTGTCTTGTCTCATCTAATGAACAAAACATCCACTTAGCAACAGTTGGTGAAGGTGCTGGGTTGAAACTTTGTAATTTTCCATGTGAAAATCCTGATGCTGATTTTAACTAGGGCGAGCATGGTGAGAATAAATCTTCAGGACACCTCTTGTCCATTTCTGTAGCAAAAATACTGCAGTCATGTCAAAGCAAGACCTGCTTTCCTCCTCCACCCCATTACCACACAGGAAACAACCCATGGGGTGCCTGGGCTCCACATTCTCTGTTTTCCCAGGGACTTTGCAATTTGGAAGGACAGACTTTCCTTTTCCTTTTTGACTCCAGGCTCCCAGCCAGCAGGAGGAGATGTCACCATCATTGCTGCTCCTGAGAACACCACGGTGGTGGCCGGGGAGAGCGTGGTGATGGAGTGCATGGCGGCTGCTGATCCCACCCCCTTCGTCTCCTGGATACGACAGGGTGAGCATGAAGGACAGGGTCAAGTTTCTGTTGTCCAGAGGAACCTGTGGATACTTCATGTTTAAAAACATCTGTTAAGAAGCTGGAGAATCTGTGGGACTGGAAGAGCGCTCGTTACAGCGGTACCTAATGACACGGGTGGTGTTGCAGTGTAGGGTGTCCTTACTAAACTGGAATTCCTAATTAAATCTAGAAGGTTACAAAGCATGCAGTTCACTTTAGAGTTGGTTGACCTGTGAAATATATGCAGCTCTAATGCCTGGATGCCTTTTGATCTAAATTAGTCATCCTTATTGTATGAGCTTGAGCAGTGAAGGTCATGAGATGGGGTCAGGTCTGTGCCACTCCTACAGGGACTTAGAGGTTAGTGGGGATTCTGTGGATCCATCTTTGCATCAGAGAAATAACTTGTATGATCTTGCAGGATTATAAAACATGGTAAGATTTTAATCCTTGCAGTGGCTGGGCATACTGGAGGGGTTTTGTTCACAGCCTTACTGTGGTCACATTGGTAATGGAAGGATTGAGCAGAAGCTCAGGTCTCATCAGAGCTGTACAGGTGAGCCACTGGCACACATTACCCAGGGCTGATAGCCTAAGTGATGAGTAGGGTGCTAGTGTCACTTCAAGTGTCACATCCATCAGATGTGTTTCAGGGGCTCTGTCTGAAGATGTTCTCAGCTTAGGAGTTGATTCGTCCCCATAAAAGGCTCTCAGTCATTTCCATAAATCTGGGTCGCTATTTAAGACTCCTCTCCCCTGTAACCGTTTATTGTGGTTGGTCTTCAGCCCAGACTTGTCCACAGGCAAGGATTTTAGTGTATATAAATACTTCCTCTTCCCCATAAAAAATAGGACCAAAAATACCTCAGAGGATACAGCTTTGGATTAAATGTTCTGGCAGAAATGTTTCTGGTTTATCCTGTGCACTACACTATTCCAGATACATGCTAGATCGCTTAATCATTGCTTTGCTGGGAGCTGCTGATGCCTGTAGTAGATATTGTTAATTATCACTATGAAAGCTTTTGAATGGGGAGGAAAAGGAGGAGGAAAGGTTGATGAAAGAGTTCCTTGGATGCTTTGTTTTAAAGTGGTTGCTTGGTCCCCCTTGTGCTTCCCAGTGTGGACTCTTCAATTAGAAAAGATGGATTAACAGTGTTAGCAGTTCTGTGTTATACAAGCATGTTTCTTTCCAAGGCTTCATTAAGGAGCAGGCTGGGTTACTGGGTGATCAGTCATGTAGGTAACACTGAGGACCGTACTGCCAGGTGCCCAGTTTGGCTCTTGCCAGCCGTGGTGGTGTCAGCTAATTGCTACCATCTGGAGTCAGGCTTTCAAACTGCTCCAGTGCAAAAGGGGTGCACAGATTTCCCCCTCCTCTAAGCAGGCAGCCACTGAATGGTGAAGCCATCTAAATACCCCCAAACTGTGGATGGAGGGGGCAGAGGATCTGATCTCAGCTGCATTCCCCACTGATGGTGCTAAGTAGGTGCAGCTGCTCACAGAGAAGGTGGAGAGCTTGCTTCTGTCTGGGTACAGGCTCAGCTGGATCTCTGAGAGGTAAAGGCAAGCCAGTCTGAGGTTTTGGTGTCTGAAAGACATCCCTGCTGTTGCAGGTGGAGAGGGACAAGGTCTGGTGTTGCACAGCTCTGCACAGACTGGCTGGATGTGCTAGAGCTGGCCATGGGTACCTGACCTCCCATCCAGTGCTGAGAATAAGCAGTGCCCAGCACCAGCGTTTGACATGCTGAGGAGCCCAGGGCTATTTGAAGTTATAGAAGGATGGCTCATCTTCTGGCCAGGGAGCCAGAGCCAGCCTTTCCTCAGTCCCTACTCCGCAGTGCTGAGCATCTGGCCAGGAGAATGGGAAGACAGCAGCTCATGGCCCAAGGACCAGAGCCCCAGGGAGAACCAGTTTTCCTGATACCCTGCAGATTGGGACCCAAGATGGGGCAAAGAATGAATTGGGAAGCTCAGTAAGTTTGGGATCATGTCTGGGACCCAGAGGAGGGAAGAACCCCTGAGCTGTTAGTGATTCAGTGCTCTTGCTGACATCTGCATTAACGTGCACAGGGGTCATCAGGCAGATCCAGGAGCTTTTCCAAGATGTGTGTTAGCACAGCTTTTCCTTGAATGTGCTATTCCTAGGGGTTCTCGTTGCAGGCACACCCTATGTATCAGAGACTGTTTTGATCCAAAACAGAACAACCGGTTGTTACAGGCTAAACTGAACCTTGGGCCAGTGTTGGCTTGGGATGGCTGATGCTTGATCAAACACTGAGGAGTATCCCAGCAGGAAGCCTCCTCTGGGCTGGGGTTTGGGATCTGGGGGTCTCTCCATTCCCCAGCTGTGATCCTGGCTCCTCACAAGCCCTCATAAAGGGGGGCTCACTGGGGCTGCCTCCCACATTTGTGCACGTTTCTTCCTGCAGATGGCAAGCCTGTTTCCACGGATGTGATTGTGCTGGGCCGGACAAACCTCCTCATCCCTTCCAGCCAGCCCCATCACTCCGGGGTGTACGTGTGCCGCGCTAACAAACCCCAGACCAGGCAGTTCGTCACAGCCGCAGCTGAGCTCCGGGTCCTTGGTGAGTAGAGAGCAGGGTAAATGCTCCAGGTAGAAACCCACAGCAGGTAGGTGTGGATTACATGGACCAACATCCAGGAGATCCCCAAGAAGTTGCTGGATAAGATGGGAGGCACGTTAGAGCCAGGAGGCCCTGGGCTGGGATAGCTCTCAGTGGGAGTGTCTCCTCTTTAATTTGGGGTTTAGTTCCTTGTATTTACTGAGCCGTTTTATGCCTTATTCTTGTTCTCCAGGGTTTCCTCATGGAAATCTGTATCAGCAATTAACTTTCAGTATCGTGGAAGCCAGAAGGGAGAGCAGCCTAGGATCAGGGGACGCAGCACATGATTGATAGAGAATTTATTTTTCCTTTTGGACAGAGTCTAAATTAAGCCTCTAGAGTCTGCCTGGCAAATCCTATCTTGTAAGCAAAGCTGCTACTGAATAAAACATAGCAGCGGGCGGGGAGGAGAAGGGATTTGCTTTGCTATCTTTTCCTCCTCCTTCCTGCGTTAATTTGTCCTCTCTCCTCCCAGCTACACCCAGCATCTCCCAGGCTCCTGAAACCATCTCACGCACCCGCGCCAGCACAGCCCGGTTTGTGTGCAAGGCAGAAGGGAAGCCAGCCCCAACCATCCAGTGGCTGAAGAACGGGGAGAGCATCCTGTCCAACGGGCGGGTGAAGGTGCAGAGCAGTGGGAGCCTCGTCATCAACCAGATCGGCCTGGAGGATGCCGGCTACTACCAGTGCGTGGCTGAGAACAGCCTGGGCATGGCTTGTGCCACTGCCAAGCTCTCGGTGATCGTGCGGGAGGGTTTGCCCAGCGCTCCCAAGAAGGTGTCAGCCGTGTCCCTCTCCAGCACCACGGTCCTTGTGTCCTGGGAGCGGCCAGAGCACAACAGCGAGCAGATCATCGGCTTCTCTTTGCATTACCAGCGAGCTGTGGGTAGGTGTCATCTGCCTCTGCAACACTGGTACAAGGCATAAGGCACAGGTTGACTTTCTTTCCCAGCTAGTGACAAGTGTGAGGCAATTCCAGTTAGTTTAGCCCTTTTCATTGCAGGTAAAGGCATTGTCTCTTGGAGTTAGTGTCCATCTGTGACAGTGCCTGTGGATTAGCCACCATAGCCAACCTGTTGACCAGCAGCAGCATGTCCATGTGGCTGAGTTGTCTGGATTCTGGAAGCTTCTATTGTTTACTTTCTCCTCCAACACCTTGATTTTACATGCAAAAGGTGTGATTGTTAATGGAGGTACTAAATAGCTACGTTGTGCATAATCACTGAATTATTCACACCCAGAATCTGAAGGGAGGTCTCTTGGGGTCTGTCTTCCCAAGCAGCCAGCAAGCCAATACTGTTGGTGAACTGTTGCCAGAGCTCCTCTGAAAATTAAGCTGGTAACACCGGTTGCCTTAGCATGAATTAAAGAACTTGAGTCAAAAAGGAGATGCAAACATTGAAGCACTGAATGTTTCTGCCTGAAGAATTCACATCAGAAATGGGGTTTGTGCAGTTACTGGGGGAACAGGAGAAGACAATGATTTTTAAGGTGGATTTTCACTATGGACCTCATTAGTTAAATGCTGTTTCAAGGAGTGTCTTGGCAGCTCGCTGACCTGCTGATCAGTGTTTCCTTTGCTCTAGGAACAGATAACGTGGAATACCAGTTTGCTGTCAACAATGATACCACTGAGCTGCAAGTCAAGGACCTAGAACCCAATACCAACTATGTCTTCTACGTGGTTGCATATTCTCAGCTCGGAGCCAGCCGGACATCCTCTTCCATCATTGTTCAGACCCTGGAGGATGGTGCGTACTGGTGCCTAGAAAATGGTCTTGGCCTGTTTCATGGTGAGCATTGGATATGCTATGGAGAATAGTATCAGCTCCTAGAAACCTAAACTTGCTTGCTGCTTCTTCTTGTCAGAAGCCCTTTAAAACCAACCCCAAACAACAAACCAAACCACAGAAAAGCAAAGCACTCTGGTCTGATCATCAGCTTGGGTGATGAAGAGCATGAAAATGACCTAGCTGACAGTATGGCCCATGAGAATCCTTCAGGAACTACAGTCAGCTCCTCTGGGCTTTCATCTAGCTAATGCAGTATTGCTCCAAACTTGACTCTGGGCCAGACTTGATTTCAACTCAGGAGAAAGACATCTACTGCAATTTGTAGGGGTGGGAGCAGTGTGGAGGTTGGATCCCTTAAGAGCCAGTAGTTTGTGTTGATTTTACCACTTATCATGTAGCATTTTGCAAGCAGTAAGGGCAGAGTGCCAGAAGGACAGCAGCCCAGCAGGGGAGGACATGTACAGCTTTCAACAGACTGCAGGACAGAGGCAAGGAGTGATGATTTTGGCAGACCTCATGCAAGCCCCTGCTATGCTGCAGGGTCCATTATGTGGTTTTAATACTCCTGACACAGTGAACTGCGTGGTCCCACATGTATGTGTCTGAAGCTTGAAAAGCTGAGTTGAAAGCGTGAAAGCTGCTTGCAGCTTGCAGAGCTGTGATTCTTGAGGGAATGGGGATTCCCAGGCTGAAGTCTGGATCTCTGAGCCATTTCCTTTAGAGTCTCCTTCATGTTCCATAGGCTCATTAGCTGGTCTGTGCTAGCCTGCCCTGTTTGCAGTGCACATGGGGTCCGTAGGGAGCAGTGATCAGCCTGTTGGAGCTGAGCAGCCCACCATCTCCCCTCCCCAAGCACCACACTGATGCTCTGAGCTGTTGAAGAGCTGTGGAGTAGTGGTTCCCCTTGGGCCAGAGAGCATGTCACCAGTGGCTGTGGCAGGGCCAGGACGAGGCAGTGGCCTCCAGCCAACTCCAAGAGGTGGCAGAGATGTGTTGTCCCAGTCTTTCCTAACTTCTCCTTTCTACCCAGTTCCTAGCGCTGCCCCTCAGCTGTCCCTGTCGAGCATGACTCCTGCTGACATCCGTGTGACTTGGCTGCCTCCTCCTCCAGAGCTGAGTAATGGCAAGATAACAAAGTACAAGATCGACTACTGCACCCTCAAGGAAGGTGAGGAAAACACTATTTAGGGGGCTGTGTATTCTGCAGCAGCAGTGTTAACATTTGAGGGGAGGACGGACAGAGGGACCCCTTCTTACCCAAGGGAGGAGAACAGCCCTCTCTTAGCCTTGCTCTGCTGGTGGTGGTCACAGCAGTGCTGGTGCTGTGCTACTTCACCCTACTTTGAGGTGTCTTCTGTGACCGTGGAGAAGCCTGTGTCCCCAGGGGAGTGGTCTGGTGCTTGAATGTTTGTGCTGCCCCAGGAATGTCTAACCCTTTGGTGCCATCTGCACTGTGTGTTCTGGGAGAAGAGCTTTGTGCTGGTCGGGGCAGAAGGGTAAATGCATTTTATTCCTTCAAAATGGAGTCTAATCAAAGTGATCCTTGTAGGAAAAAAAAGCAAGTATCCTGGCCAGGCTGTGTTGTTCTGTTGTTGAGTTTTATTTAGGTTTATTTATGTTGTCAGGCACTCTAAGAAGCCCTCAGCAGGGATGTAACATTTACCTGTGCTGGATGTGGCTGTTCCGGTTCCATGAGGGCTGGCTTTGCAAATCCTTCTGGGTATTTGCTCTTAAACGCGTCAAAGCTCTGCAGCTTCTCACTTTCCAGGGTCATGATTCTTACCAGGAGCAGGGTGGGGAGTGTGATGAAGTGCTGGACATGCTCCCACGGGTTTGATCAGGATTAGTAGTCTGTGCTGTGACTCCTGGCTCTTTGATTTTCACTCTGAGCCTGCATGTGGCTCTGTGGCATCGTAAAACCTTGGAAACGTTTGCAGTGCAGGGCTCACACTCAGCAATATACTGTTGTGTAGCAGGGACAGTGCTCCCAGCTGACTTTACAACAGGTGAAGCTGCAAAGCAAGACCTTTGCGTTCAGCAAACAGGCAGTGTGAATCTTCAGCGAGACCCATGAGTTGTTACAGTGAAAATCCCAAGCCATTCTCAGTTTAAATTTCCTGTTATCTCCCTTATGAACTTGGGTGGGCTGAGGAGGGAGATACAAAACCTCAGCCTGGCCTGAGTGGAGGTGTGAATTCTGCACAGAGCAAGATTGCTGGACAGTTCTGGTTCAAGTTAAGGTGAGGATTTTAACACAGCAGTGAGAAGCACTGGAGTCAGCTACCATTGGCAAGCACGTGTTCTGCCATCACATCACCAGCAGCAAGGTTTCTGACAGCTCCCCTCCAGGCAGGCGCAGTGGTGCTGAAGGCAATGGGTAGATTTGAGTGTGATGAAGGGAATTGTCAGTCAGGATATCAGCTCTGCCCAGTCTTCAGCTCTAGTTTTTCCTGGTGGCATGAGGTTGCACAGGGCAAACCCAGCCCAAGGCACACGGGCCTTGGGGGGGAGCTGGGCTTTGTGGCTTCTTCTAAGGTGAATTTCACTTTGAGTGGGAAAACTGTGTTTTCAGTGGTGTCCCCTTGGTTCCAGCAGATCAGGTAACCTCCATTGAAGTGGGTGGGAATGAGACACAAATCACCCTCTACTCGCTCCATCCCAACAAAGTGTACAAAGTGCGCATCGCGGCCAGCACCAGTGTGGGCTACGGGGCCCCTTCTGAGTGGACCCAGCACCGGACTCCTGACAGAGACAACCAGACACACGGTAGGAGGCTGGGTAATGCTTGGGATTTGGGGCAGGGTGTGCAGGACACTGGGGAACTTGAGGCATAATCAGAGATAGTTGCTTTCATTAGGAGTTACAGCTGCTGGGTTTGGTTAAAACAATCACTGCCCTTCATCGTTCTGTTCAGCAACCTCTGTATGTCTTGCTGCTTGCCTGGGTAGAGGGTCTTTCCTGCCTTCATGTGCAGCTGTGAAAATTCTTAAGGAAGAAAGAAATACAACTCCTAGAGCCCCATGTTATAACATTTGGGAGTGGATGGACAATTCTGCCAAGCAGAGCTGAGCCCAAGGCACGCTCCAGCAGTGTTAAAGACGGTGGCATCTCAGACTACATTAGAAACTCCCATAGTGGCTTTGTGACATTGTTCTTTCCTGCTTCACCCAGCTGGTAAAGTCAACGGTAGAGCATAACTTTACCACTCTCCAGGCAGTGGAAGCATTCCAGTTCACAGTCAGCCCTTCCTCACACCTCTCCCTTACCACCAAGGCCAGGAAGGATTCAGTAGAGCAGGGAAATGGAGACAATTGGCTGAACGTTTTTCTCTTGTCTTGTTCTCCTTCTAGTTCCATTTGCCCCGACAGAATTGAAAGTCCGAGCGAAGATGGAGTCTCTGCTGATAACCTGGCAGCCCCCAGCCAACCATGCCCAGATATCTGGCTACAAGCTCTACTACCGAGAAGTGGGCCCAGAGGAGACCAGCGATGAAAACCCTCTGGATGGTGCCGAGGATGAGAGCTGGGATGTAGGACCCATAAAGCTAAAGAAGAAAGTGAAGCAGTATGAGCTGACTCGCCTAGGTTAGCTGCTTCCATCTCTTAGTAGTTGGTGTGGAAACCCAGGGTCTGTGTCTTGCACTTCATAGCAGTGCTTTGGGATGGTTCCAAGAGCTGTCTGCTTGGCTGCTAATACATAGGACCAGGACCATGAGAGCTGTTTTAAGAGCCCCCAGAATCATTTCTGGCGTGGGGTGTTTGGGGCTTGCTCTGAGCAGAGGTTAAAACAGACATTTCTGATGCCAGTGTAGCAGGGGTTGTATTTTTAACCAAGGGCTGCTAATACACTTAGTATACACTAATAAATGGCTCTGAATCAATTAGTGTTCTTATTGTGTAACCATAAAGAGTGCCTAGATTAAAATCACCAGTCAGGACAATGATCGCTCCTTCTCTCTGTATTCTGAAGGAGCTCCATAATTGCACGCTGTTTGAAACCTCTCTGTATTAAACTGCAGAGATGGGTTAATTCACAGCATACTAATTTGGGATCAGTGCTCTCCTCCACCTCCCCCTAAAGGAAAAGAGACACAGAATAGTGAGTGTTCATGGCTGGAGAACAAGTCTGTGCCACAGTCAGATCTGCCTGGCTGGCTAACTGTGCTTGGCACTTCCCATAAGGAGTTAATGTTTCTAATGTCTGATCATACTAATTAGTTGATTTGCTCATGGAAACAGAATGGAAAGTGAGGAGAGGCATGGCAGATCCTTGAAACAGGATTGTACTTCTTAGAGTTCTTCCATCCCTCACTTCATGCTTCATCCCTGTTAGTGCCCAGTGAGCTGAGACTGCAGGGCTGGTGTTTCTCGTGCTGGTTCATCTTGTTCATCCAGCATGTATATCATACATGGTGTAAAGGTCAGGCTGCAGCACCTGGAAAGATAGTTTGTGTCATCGCTAAGTAGGTTTCCAGCTATGCTGCAGCCATCCTGCCAGTGAGAGTGTTAACAGTTATGAGTTTCTCTGAAGAATTTAGGTCTGTAATTATTGCACTGAGGAAACCACATGTGAACATCATCACGCTGCTCTAACCACTGGCAAGTCACTTAGCAGAGGGGCTCAGGAATGGGCTGAATTGATTCCAAATGCTCTGGCACGATGATGCTGAGAAGGCTGCTTGTTCTTCTGTAATTACTTCCTTAAATTTGGGCATCCGTCAAGCCCTAATGGCTTCCTTATGATTGTGGTGGTTGCGGATCAGCTATCATTGTGTCAGGAAAAGAGTCTCGGGTTTCTTTGAGCCGTGGATGTTCTCTTTTCTCCCCCTTGCTCTGTTGAATGATGTGCTCTTGCATGTGTACAGTAAAGGAAGGGGTCAGGCATCTGGCTGTGCTGAGAAAGGCAGGGGTCTGGATATGGGACGAGGAGGAGGAATGGTTGGGATTTAGATGGGTTTAGCCTTATGGTGGGCAGCTACCCTGTACAGGCACTTACATCTGCATGAGGGATCTTGTAGGCAGACTGGGTAGCAGGCTCAGGAGAGGTTGGCAGCCATGGTGTGATCTGTGCTGCTGCACACTGCCTGATGGGGAATCAGCCTGGGGATTTCCCAGCTCAGGGATGATGAGGAGGAGTCCAACTCCCTCATCACTGCAGGGCTGACCAGAAGTTAAAGCATATTCTTAAGGGCATATTCTTTATTCACAGTGACAGCATAGCTGTTACACCAGCAAAGAGCCATGCCCGTGTTTCCCTCCCCAGGTTTCTTGTGCCATTAGACTGTGTTTTAAGTTCCTTGTGCTGGTCTTGTGCAAGATTCTTGTCTTCTTGCACTGGCTGGTCCTGCTACTGAAACTGCCAGCTTTGTCCATCACCTCTCCTCTATCCCACAGACATCCTCATCTTTTGCCTTGATCTTAACATCTGGCTTCTTGGTTTTGTCTTTGGCAATGACTCTGCTCCTCCATTTAAGCTGAAAGAAGAGATTTTTCTTCATGCTCATGCAAACCTCTGGAGCAAACCGTGTCTCCTTAGCATGATATCACTAATGACAAGCCTTGTATCTTGTCTGAGAGGCAGGAGCTGAAATCCTGTGAGAGAGGAGGGCAGCTCTTCAGAGGCACATAGAAATACCACAATGTCATGAGCCCACAAAACCAAAAGGAGCTGTCCTGAATCACCAGGAGGGCTTTTCCCTGAGAAACTCCCATTGATTTCCATGTTCTAGCAGTTCCTCTCCATAAGGGTGTGCAGCTACCAGGCCCATGATTTACATGCAAAATAAACAGTAAGGATCTGATCCTCTCCTCCACATTCCCATGAAGGAAGATTGCATTCCTCTAGGAATGACTCCCTGGAGATCAGGGTATTTTCCCACTTAGAGGGAAGTATGGCATATGGCATCTGGCCAATATGAACACCTTGAAAAACTGAATGAAGCAACATATTTAGCATATTGGATATATTATGCAGTCATCCAGATTAGTGATTTGAAATGATCTGGACTAGATTATTCTGCTTATATTTAATGTATGATGGAATGCATTGAAATACATCTGTTTTCATGCTGCCTAGTAGCTTCTTGACAGCTTGATAGAGCTTTATGTCTGCATGTTCTAAGAGCTTGAACATCTGGGGCTGTGTATAAAACTTGAAGCCAAGGCTCTGACTGAGAAATCCAAAATACCCCTATTTTCAGAAAGTGAATTGCTTGATGTTGTAGTAGAGCTCCCCTGGCTTCACATGTAAGTGGCTGCTGTATCGATCCTACCTGGGGATGGAGATGGAGAGCATGTCCTTCCCTTCACTTCTCCAATAGGAGCTGCCCACAGCTGCATCACATCTGTGAGCTCTTCCTCATCGTTTTGGAGCACATCATCCACAATCAGCTTGAGTCCCAGCCAAACCCTCAGACAGGAGGCAGAGTGCATGTGCTGCAAGGGACAGGCTGTGGGGTCCTTTATTCCACCAAGCCCATGGTCCCAGCCATTTGGACATAGAATGCCCTTTGGTATCATCTCACTTGTGTGGGTTTGAAACGTTTTCCTGTGGCTGGAGAGTGTGAAAATGCAGAGCAGGCGCCTTGGGGCAGACAAAGCTCTGTTTGCTTTTGGGATTGTGGCTGAACTGTTTTTGTATTCTGAGCGTGACCGTGTGTTGTGGAGCCTTTGGTAATTGGTACCATTAGCCTCTGGGAGCGTAATCAGCACAGTCATAATAAAATTGGCATCAATAAGGAAGGTTTTATTCTGCTTATGCTGTCTGGCAAAGAAAGCAGTGATCTATCGGGGCAGGGAGTGCACAGGCACATCCCAAATGAACCAACTTCATCAATGCACTGCAGTCAGAGACAGCCTGGACTGATCTCATTGAGCTGCTGAATGGGCTGGCTGCTGAAGGGAGAAGTTGGCAAGTGTCTTATTTGAGAACTTTGTGTATCCCAAGTTGTTTCCTCAAGTAATCGTCTCCCTTAAAACTCCCTCGGATGTTACTTAACAAAGCAGAGGAGTGTTTCAGCTGATGAAAGGCCAGAGGAAAGAGATAAATGTGTGGGTTTTCTGTGTACTGTGGCTTTTCTCAATCAAGAAACTGCTGTGGAGGCCAAACAGTCATCAACAAAAGCTGTCAGTGACTTAACAGGGCACATGGGGACTCGCTGGCAGGAAGATCCTTACAGCAGTGAATACATCAGAAAAGGCTTTAGAAATGGGAGGTGCGTTTTGGAGAGGGGAGGATGTCCTGACTCCTCACGAATAAACAGTGCAGTGCATCCACCTCTCTGGGGGAGAGAGGAGTCACCGTGCATAGGTTTCATTAGCAGCTGCAAGGGAGAAAGCTCAGGAGATGCAGAGATGATGTGCTGCAGGCCAGCACACTGGTTAACCCTCGGTGGCTGGGGCAAGGCTGCTTGTTGCTGATAGCTTCTGTAAAAGGTGAGAACTAGAGAGTGGCTGTGATGATTCCCACACCAGTTGTGAGATGGCATTTGAATGTGAAAGCCTGTAAACAGAAGGGGGACTCCTGCTGTATTTTGCCAAATACAGCTCTGTTCAAGCTACTGTTGTGGATGGTGAGAAAAGCCAGTCAGGTCAAAGCAAACTTGTCTAACTGGGAGGGTTGCTAACCAAAATAACCCCAGACAAACCGTGATTGATTTTTCCAGCTCCTGGGAGACTCTATGAGGTGAAGCTGGTGGCATTCAATAAGCATGAAGATGGTTACGCAGCGGTTTGGAAGGGCAAAACAGAAAAGGCACCTGCAGCAGCAGTAGGTGAGGAGCATCCTTCATTTGTTGTCTGTCTCCCCTGCTTGGCATGTGGCTTCAAAGGAAGGGTAGAGGTATTAATTACAAGAAGATGAACTTCAAGAAGGACAATACCAAAATGGGGAAGGTCCCAATATAAGGGAACTTTCTTTGACAATCATTGCAGATTGCTTTGGAGAAGTTGTCTTGGGAAGGAGAGAAAGGAACGTAATACCTCCCTTCTCATTCGGGTTGTTCTTGTACTGGGTGTGTATGGCCTGTATCTATGATGGTTGTCCCTTGTCTTACTATCATGTATGTCACCATATATCTTTTCTCTTTTTGTCTTGCATCACAGATCCTCCTGTGCAGAAGGGTCCTCCACTGCCTCCAGTCCAGGTCTATGCAGAGTCCAACAGCTCAACCTCCATATGGCTCAGGTGGAAGAAACCTGACTTCACAACAGTCAAAATTGTCAACTACACCGTGCGCTTCAGCCCCTGGGGCCTGAAAAATGCCTCTCTTGTTACCTACTACACAAGGTAAAGAGGGATGTGAAGGGTTCATCTGCCATGTGTTTGCTCGTGTCAGGAATAAACATAGGGCAGGAGGAATCTGCATGGAAGTTCAAGTACTGAGCAAAACGCTGGGTGTTTCACCTGCTGGAAACATCTGTCTTAGTCACAGATACATTCAGAAGTGCTGTAATGTGGCACTGGGTCTTTTCTGTGACTTGAGCACCAAGGGATCATTCAGTGGCTTGTCTCTGCATCTTTTGTGCTCTTGTTTGACCTTACGTGCTTGTTCCCTGTTAATAACATGGCCAAGTGCAGTCGTGGGCAGTCTCAAGCATTCATGTGAGATGGTCCTCACAAGTTTGGTTTAACATTTGCTAGAGTTTAAGCAGTTTGGGGATGTATTTTAAGTCTGGATTCCTGTGCAAGTGTTTAGCCTATAACCAGGCCATGATTTCAAGCTTTTCTTTGCAAGTACATCAGAAGTGATCCTGGAGGCTGGGAACCAACTTTGCTGTGTAGGTAGGAGCTGAGTGCTCTTGTATACACATGACTGCAGGAGATGGAGCTTTAGGTGAAAAATCAATATTGTAGGAGTTAGGGTAATCTCGTGTTCCTGGTAAGGTATCAAGGTGACAGTAGGTGGGAGAACCATCTAGTGTTCATGGCCTTGTGAATGTGTCCTCTTGGCAGCTCGGATGAAGACATTCTCATCAGTGGGTTGAAGCCCTACACCAGGTATGAGTTTGCTGTGCAGTCCAATGGTGTTGGCATCGATGGGCCCTTCGGCAGCGTGGTGGAGCGGTTCACCCTGCCTGACCGTGAGTGTTCATGGGAACTGAATCCTGATTTCTCCTGGGTTTCCCTGAATCTCTGTCAAATCCCTCCTAATGTGATGCTGAGAACATCTAAGCATTTCCCAAGCCCATTAAAGGAGTGCTGCTTTGTAAACAGAGGAGCATGTAAAGGGAACTGGGACAACAATTGCTGTTACTGTGGATTTGCCTCTGTGTTCAGAGGGCTGATAGTGAGTTGCTTAAGAGCTAGGTCCTCCCCAGTGCTGAATGTCACGGGCAGAATAAGGGTCCCTTGACCAGCTTTGTGTTCCGATAGGACCTTCACCTCTTAACTTCAGGCTTGGTGAAGGCTGGGGGGCAGAGATGATCCCTCAATCTGCAGTGGGTTAGCTCCTTGCTCAATAATAGCTTCCTTTCTGGTATTCAGCTTCACAGAGCAGCAGCAATGGACTTTGGAGGTTGTGTGAGTCCTGCCTCTAGCTGGGACCAGGTGCAGTGCAAGCAGGGCTTTGGGGAAGATGGAGAAGGAAGCAAAAAGGAGCAAGGACGTGCTGGGAATATTCTCTCAAAGACAAGCAATGTTGCAGAGCCGCAAACTGAGCTGTGTGGCTTCATCAGCACTGTCATGTTTTCCTTGGCTGCTTGGCCATGATGCCGAAGTCCTGCCCTGTCCTGGGCTCAAGCAGCCTCCTCTCTGTGCTCTCCATAGCTTGTCTGGGTGAGGTGTCCAGTCACCCAGGTTGCCCATCATTCCCTGCTTGCAAACATGGCCGTGGAACCACTGAGAGAAGACACAGAGCAGTTGCCATGCCCTGCCAGTTGAAGGCTCGCCTGTTTTCTGCTGTTCACACTGGATCTTGTCTCTGCCAGGTCCCTCGACTCCTCCATCTGACCTGCGGCTGCACCCGCTCAACCCCTACGCTGTGCAGGTGCACTGGTGCCCCCCTGCTGAGCCCAACGGCATCATTGTGGAGTACCTCATCCTCTATAACGCCAACAACACGCAGCCAGACGACATGTGGACCTTGCTGACGCGTGAAGGTGAGCCTCCTTGAGGTACCCTACCACCCCACCAGGTCTTGGAGTATGTGGTGGGCCTTGCTCCTGGTCATATGGGAGAATCCAGGGTCACAACTACTGAGAGACATGAAATCATACGTGTCTAGAGCTGGAATAGCCATTATTACCCAGCAAAGGTCCTGTAGGTACAGGCAGTAATTCCTAGGAGAATGTATGCCAGCAGCACCACGTGCAATCTGTATTGTCAGCTCCTAAGCAGCAACTGAAGCATTAAACTGAAGAGCTGTATGAATATCCCTTAGAGCTCATGATACACAATCCCTCACTTCTGAGAGCCCAGCAAAGTTCCACTGCTGCTTTGCTGCAGCCTCTGAATACTCTTGAAACTGCACATTTTAAACCTTGTTTGCCTTGCTTCTGATCAGGAAATATCTTCAGCACTGAAGTGCACGGCCTGGAAAGTGATACCAGATACTTCTTCAAGATGGGAGCAAAGACAGTCGTGGGATCTGGTCCCTATTCAAATGTTAAGGATGTGCACACCCTCCGGGAGAAGCTGTCTGGTACGAGTTTCCCCTTTGTCCTGTGTAAGTTGTGTTGCTGAAGACCACAGTTTGTCAGCAGTGGCATTTCTGTTTGCCAAGCTGATGTCACTGCACAGGATGCAAGATACAACCGTGTGTAAGGCCAGTGCAGAGGATCACGGCAGGGTCCTCAGATGTGCAGCTCCAGAGCCCATCCCACAGCCAAACTCCCTCACTCTTCCCCATGCCAGCTCCTATGGAAGGGCACATGGAACCTGCATCTCCCTGCCTTTCTGTTGGGCTGTATAGCATGAAGCTAATGAATGTGCAGAGATACCAGTTTGCTTTGAGATGCTCTAAATTGTCACTGCCAGGTAATATTCTTCCTTTGTGTATATAGAGGCATCACGTATTGGTTTTAGTGAAGCTGGTGCTTCTGTGAACATAAACCACTTTGTACCTTCTTCCTGCTAGCAGCTGAAATTATGTTTCTATCCTTCCTCTGCTAGATATTCTGGATATCCACTCTGTCACAGGAATCATTGTGGGAGTCTGCCTGGGGCTGCTCTGCATCCTCTTCTGCATGTGTGCCAGCTTCCGCAACAGCAAGCAGAGGTAGGTGCCAGCTCACCTTCGCAGGAGGTGAAGGAGGCTGATGTGGAAGAACACAAAACACAGCGTGAGCTCCTTCCCTGTGCTTAGCTGGGCTGTTTGGAATGCGGTGTCTGACATCAGTTAATACAGAGATTGAGTGCTGGGAGTGCAGCTGGCTCAGGAACATGTTCAGTACAGTGTTTTCTCTGATTTGACTGATTGCTTTTCTCAGTAGTTTCTCTTCAGTTTGCATTGTTACACTCGTAGGTTTGGGGTTTCTTTGGGCTTTTTTTTCTTCCAGAGAATGGAAAAAAAAGAAAAAATACTATTTGCTGGATTATTACCTGTGTCTTACTGTGGGCAGTATTTTGCTTCTGAGGTTGGACAACTCTAAGGATGTTTGGAAAGGGTTTATTAACTTCCAGTTGGGAAAATGATGAAAGACTTCCCAGTGACTGACAGGCTGGTTTGAGGAGGCTTGGGCTGTTTGGGACAGAGGAAAGTGAGGCTCATGTGAGATGTCAGCTCTTGTTTGTTTTCCCTCAGGGAAGCCCTTCCAGGCCTGGATTCCCAAGCAGCTGGCAACCACACTTACTACCACCGGAGCAGGCAAGGGGTGGCAGCGCCCAGTGCCACCTTGGACTCACATGAGCTGGAGTCCCTCATGTCCCCACTCCCAGAGGATGCACCCGTGGCCCTGGGGGACATCACAGAACTGACAGAAGTGCACAGCCTCATCCACACGAGCCTCCCTGAGGACATCATCCATGGGAAGAGGAAGGTAAGGACCCACATGTGTGGTGACTGGGCTCCCACCGTAGGCAAGAGCCTTTGTTTGGTGTGTCACTGCTGGGAAGCCGGGTCTGATCCTGCCCTGGCTCTGCAGAGTCTTGGCTGCAGGCTGGTGCTGGGTATTTCCCTCTCTGTCATACTGGCTCAGCCTTGGCTGTCAGATCTAAGTTGGGGATCCCAGTGCCATATCCCACCCCTTGTCATCTCCTGGGACAGCGACCCCTCATTCCCAGAGAAGCAGCTATCGAGCTTACTGCTGCAGAAAGCTGCACTGTTCCTGTGTGATGTCTGCAGGAGATGCTCTGCCTTCCAGGTTGCTCTTTAAATTAGAGTGAAAGGAGCTTTGTCCATAAATACCATATTTACTGGAATACCCTTGAAGATGTGCAGGAGATGAAATTGGGTTTTATTTGTGAACCTGATTTTTTGAAGCAGTCTTTACCTGCCCTGCGTGGTTTGCCTGACATTGCATTGTCTTTCATTCCTCCCTGCCCATTTCCTCTCTCCAGCTTGCCTGAAACATTTCATTCCATTAGGGAACCTTTAATTGGCCTAATTTAGTTAATCTGTTTATGTCTCTCTTTGTAGCCCAGGGAGAGCATGTAAAGTAATTAGGAGGTTCAGTAAAACAACTGCATTGTGAGCACATGGGATTTCATGGTTGCTTCCACGATGCGCTTGTGTGTCACTGGGGGGAAGGTGAGTTCAGGATACCTGGCTAAGCCCGGCTGCTGGTGCTGGTGCAGGGATGGTCTTTTGGAAACACAGCATCAGCTGCTGGCTTTAGGAGTCCTGTCAGCTGAAGCCACGCTCTTGGCCACCCCGAAGTGCTGCAGCACATCAGTGCTGAGCTGAAGGAGAGGCACTCTGCAGCCAAACCGCATCCATGGATTTCACTGCAGTGAAGCTGCCTGGCTGGACCCAAGCCCAAGAGTGTGTGGAATTTCCTACAGCTCTTGCTGTTAAATACAGACCAAATGATTTCAGGGATGTGACTTACCCTGAGAACAGGTCAGGATGGGGGAAGTTCCCTCCCTTGGGAGGCCTTTCTGCAGGCAGCACATCCAGATCTGTCTTCTGAAGCAGCAATCCTGTCTGCAAAGGTTTACACCAAGATTTTCATGTGTGCAAAGCAGGGGCTGAAGAGGGCAGTGCCAGCGTCAGGCTGCTTATCCTGAGAGCTTGAGTGTCCCAGTGCCACAGAGACAACCATGTCCAGCAGGGTCCAGTTCAGAGATCAGAGCTTCAGGAGTGAAATGATTCTGGCTGTGGAGTCTCTTCCCCCAAAATTGGATGGGGAAAGGCCACTGAGAGTTAAATTCTCTGAGGGCTTTTGCCGGCAGAATAAAGAGTTTGGTTTTCTGATGGATGTGGCTGGGGAAGCAGGGATCACTGAGGAGCAGCCACCCGGAGAGCAGTGCTGTCACCCGTGCTCACCGGTGAGGATGACCTCGCAGGTGAAGAGCTCGAGTGGCCGGGAGCAACAGGCTGTTGTTCTGGGAGCGGGCACTGGAGGGAGATGTGCTCCCATGCAGGCGGCCCTGCTCCCGCCGCTGCCCAGTCCTGCTGGAGGTGCCGCCTGAGCCAGCTCTGAGCATCGCTGCAGGTCTCAGACCAGTGCTCACAGACCCGGCCCTCACAACGGATATAAATCAGTCAGGAGCAGTTGTGAGTGAGAAATGTCTCAAAGGCCCCTTTCATTAACACTGCATCATGTCACCACAGAGCTCAGGCTGTTGGCTGGGACAGACTCCTGGTTGGATGCTGCTGCCGCACAGGTTTGCATAGCTGTGATGCCAAGGGGCTGGCAGCTCCAGGCCTGAGTGACCTCCAGTTGCCTGCTTGACTCTTCATCCTCAAGTTACATTCCTGAAGCTTGGCTTGTGTTGGTTGGGTGGCACTTGCCATTAGCAGTGGCACTGACAGCTGCTCCTGCACTTGCAGGCTTTTCACATGCTGGCTCATTACTTAGCATTTCATGAATTATTCTTCGTGGTTTTATTCTTGTGGCAGCCCCAGGTTCCAGTGGAGATTGGAGGCTCTGTGTTGTTAGGAGATGTACAGACCCAAAGAAGGGGCTGTCCCTGTGCCATGAGCAGTCAGAAGCGAGTGAATGTCACTTTGCAGGTGTGGGGATTGAAGAACAGTGAGACCAAGGGCAGAAAGGCTTTAACAGCACTGAGACTTGAACTGACTCCTGCAGAGAATTGCAGGCAAGGATTTTGAGAAGTCCCCTTGGTTGTTTTCAAGTCAAGATCCCAGTGCCTTCAAACACAGGGCAGTGATTCCTCTTGAGCCGTTACAGGTAATGCTGGGGGTGCAGGACAGTAGAAGGGGAAGGTGGGACAGTCTTCATGCTGCTGGACAGCCCACCTGCTTGCAGGACAGCAAGGTGCTACTGCAGGCAAGCTGTGGGCACAGGATGGCTGAGCAAGAGCGTGCTCTGCCATTTAGTGGTCCCTTTGCCTTCCTTTCCATGTGCTTCCCAATGGTCACATACAAGGATTTGTAAATACACTGACAAGTGATTGCCCTCTCTTTGCCTTTCAAGTGACCCCCAGACCGATGGCCCCGGTACTCGTGTTATAAATGACACTGTAATGCACAGGCTGTGGGGCTGCAGCTCTGTTCCCCCTGACAGATGGGCTGAGGATGATAGAATGGCTGTGCTCCAGACAGCCCTGTCACTGCTGCTTTTGGGCCAAGCAATTTAGGGGGTGGGGGAGAATGTTAAAAAGCATCTGCTTTCCATGGAAGATTTCAGCTTTTCATTGAACGAAGCCAAACCCAAGTGTTTTGGCTTGGAAATGTTTGCTGTTGTGCTCCTTGCAAGCTGGAGCCATCCTTGCTTGCTGCCCCACTCCTTCCCTGTGGGACTCCCCCATGAAGCATCCCCGTGACTCGGAGAGCAAAAGCTGTCACACATCAGGGACTTGGATCTACCCGGGTTGTTTGTCATGTTCGTGTTGAAGTTTGTCTGCATGGAAAACAAACACCGATGCTTTCTGCCATGCAACACAAAATCCTTTCTCTGTGCTATGACAGTAAAAGCTGGGCACATCTGCAGTGTCCCCAGCCTTGTTTTGCACAGGGTTTCAAGCTAGTTTAAAGAATCCTCATGAACCAGGGAAGGTTTCAAGATCAGCATTTCCCACATGTTCATTCTCAGCTCCTATATTTGCATGAGATCATTACTTGTCACTGGAAAGGTAACGTTACTGAGTCACAGTTTTACCAGTCGGAGTTACTATAAAAAGGCTAAAATGAAAAGGCTTGTTTGCTTTGATAAGGATTCAGCTGTAATGGAAACACCTTCTATGGGAAGATGGTTTTATTAGTTTTAATTCTTGCATTTGCAATGAACTGACAAAGGGATTTTTCCATCTTTAAATTGGAATTGGACTGACAGTCGTTGCTTTTGTTACACTATTGTAAAATCCAAGAGGACTTTTCCTTCCTTCAGCCATTCACTAGCCCCTCTTGAGCAGGAATAAACTGTATCACTTATTGCACCAAAAGATACTGCTTTAAAGAGCAGAGAGTATCACTTATTGCACCAAAAGATACCGCTTTAAAGAGCAGAGAGTATCACTTATTGCACCAAAAGATACCGCTTTAAAGAGCAGAGAGTATCACTTATTGCACCAAAAGATACTGCTTTAAAGAGCAGAGAGTATCACTTATTGCACCAAAAGATACTGCTTTAAAGAGCAGAGAGTATCACTTATTGCACCAAAAGATACTGCTTTAAAGAGCAGAGAGTATCACTTATTGCACCAAAAGGTTGTTTGGTTTTTGTTTGGTTTTTTGTGTTTGGGGTTTTTGGTTGTTGGGTTGTTGTTGGGTTTTTTGGTTGTTTGGGGTTTTTTGGTTGTTTGGGGGTTTTTTGGTTGTTTGGGGTATCACTTATTGCACCAGTACTGCTTAAAGAGCAGAGAGTATCACTTATTGCACAAAGATACTGCTTTAAAGAGCAGAAGTATCACTTATTGCACCAAAAGTACTGCTTTAAGAGCAAAGTTCCTTCACCAAAAGATACTGCTTTAAAGAGCAGAGAGTATCACTTATTGCACCAAAAGTACTGCTTTAAAGAGCAGAGAGTATCACTTATTGCACCAAAAGATACTGCTTTAAAGAGCAGAGAGTATCACTTATTGCACCAAAAGGTACTGCTTTAAAGAGCAGAGAGTATCACTTATTGCACCAAAAGGTACTGCTTTAAAGATCAGAGAATATCACTGATTGCACCAAAAGATACTGCTTTAAAGAGCAGAGAAGTTTTTGGGCTCACAGGACCTTCTGCAGGTCTGGGCTGAAAACAGACCTAGAGTTAGTTGCTGCTCAACCTTAGAGGCTGAGCCCCAAGAGGGTTTTCCCCCCCACACACACACCACGTGCTCGAACAACATGTGGGATCCAGGCCATGTTGTGTGGCTGATGGTTTTGTTCTGTTTGTTGAAAGTTGCAAACTGGTACAAAACAAGTTTGTTCTTCGTTGCAGCCAATTTCAGCCGGAGCTGAACAGGCTGTTCCCAGAGTCATCAAAACCTATGTAAACATGGCAGATTGACATTTCCGCTAACAGATGGTCCATGGGGGATTGCAGCAGAGCTGCCTGTTTCTTTCCACGTTTTTTGGTATTCACAAGATGCCTGCAAGAAGGTTTTCAAGTTTGCTCTGTGTGTGTGTGCATATGATGCTCAGCTCTTTCTGATGGCAAATACGCATGTAAGCATCTATAATAGGACACACATTTGTGTGCATATTTGTGTAGGTTCAACGCTTAAACTTCCAAGCAGTATTTGCTCAGTAACGTATGTTCCTTGGAAGAGGCACAGAAGCCATCAGTCGGCGATGGAGCTGCAGAAAGCCTCTCAGATGGCAGCAGAGGCAAATTGAACACGTTCCTGGAGCACTCGCATGTAGCAATATTCCTTGTTGTCTGTGAGCTGTGTGTGATCGCTTGGTTGATTTCTTGCTATTAAAGTGTAGTTTAATGATTGTCCACTTAGAAAAGCAGCTATTAGGGAATGCTCTTGGCTCAGAATATATTGTTGAGGATTGCAGGGAGAGGAATGGCAAAGATACTGCCTCCAGCATCCACTTTATATTAGCTAATGTGTGACATCCACAGTGCTTTGGATGTCACTGTTCTGCAGGGTGCTGTCATATAAATGAGGCCCTTTGCTACTCGTTTTCTTAAGGTTTGATCCTGAAGCAGCAGCAAAGCTCCTACGACTTGGGGTTGGTGCTGGGATGTGATGCTGCTTTGCCTCCCACAAGGTGTCGAGCCGTTTTGGTGCTTGAGTCGGGGTGGACGGGGTGCTCGGGCAGTCCTTCAGCACATACATGAGCCCTTTAATGCGCCTTCTGCCAGCACCAACAGCATGAGGTAGCATTTGCTTCTTGCTAAATAGCTGACTTAGGAATGCCTGGCTCGCACACAACATCTGCTCATGTATTTCTACCTAATTTCCAGCCAGATGGACCGAGGCACAAGGAGGTCAAATGACTCACCCAAGGTCAGGCTGATGTCAGAAATCTCCTTGCCATCTCAGCTGGACCTGTGCTACATTGGCTGCTGTTGGAATGGATCTGGCCCTAGCAGCAGCCACATATGCAGAGCAGAAACCTGAGTTTGTCCTGCCTGTTAGTGAGCAGTAGATGCTCAGTGGGTTTCAATAGATGTGCCCTGTATCTTCACCCTACACAGGCGTCGTGTTCACACCAGCTGTATTCTGTATGCGGATGCACACTCACGATTGTGTCAGGTCAGGATTTTCTCTTCGCTTTAGCCTTGCATCAGCCTCTTGCTTCTCTCCAGGCAACATGAAACATCTGTGCAATGAGCCTGGAGATAACTGGTGCTTAAATCTGAGCGTGTGTGTGTGTGTGTGTGAATGTGAGTCAGTAGCAAGGCTGAGCTCAGGTATCTGCAGGACAACCCAATAAAATCAAAACCGGGAAAGAAAATGCTTTTCTGCCTGTGAACTAATAGTCTGAGCTGTTAAATAACTTCAGCTCTTAAAGGGCCACATTTCCCATACACAGAGGTGTGCATTCACCAGTTTATTGCAAGGGGAAGCTGAGAGAACCCAGAACAAATTGCGTTCAGCCCATATAATTTAATTAGATCTACAAACAAGGTAACACTGGTTGCCCAGGGGATTTAAAGCTGAGCTAAGAATTGCTTGGTGGTCTGCTGCAAAAAAAAAAGAGACTAATTAAATAATTAAATAAAATAAGGCCCCAGTGTTGTGCCTCGGTGGTGGTGGGGAATGGCAGTGTTTACCCAAGCCTGGGCTTAGAGCAGGAAATCTGTCTGCTCTGCGGTGAGCAGTTCAGCATTGTCTTCAGCTCTGACCAGAGCGCACATGCCAGTGCACACAGGTGAGGGTCCCTCTCCATGCTCCAGAGCATCGCTGGTGCTCAAGCAAGCACTGGAATGGGTCAGCTCCAGATTTCCGCTGCCCCTGTTCCTCCCCAGCTTCGTGGTGTTTTTCAGTAGGTTCATGCTGCTTTGGGTTGCTCACAGCTTTGCAGGAAGTTGATTCCAGAGGGGAACAGAAGGCTCCAGGGAGACTTCAAAACAGTCTTACAACACCTAAAAGGGGCAACAAGAAATCTGGAGAGGGGCTTTGGACAAGGGCCTGCAGGGACAGGCCAAGGGGAATGGCTTGAACCTGCCCGAGGGGAGACTGAGCTGAGCTCTTAGGCAGAAGCTCTTCCCTGTGAGGGTGCTGAGGCGCTGGCACAGGGTGCCCAGAGAAGCTGTGGCTGCCCCATCCCTGGCAGTGCTCAAGGCCAGGTTGGACACAGGGGCTTGGAGCAAGCTGCTCCAGTGGAAGGGGTCCCTGCCCATGGCAGGGGTTGGAACTGGATGAGCTTTAAGGTCCCTTCCAACCCAAACCAGTCTGGGGTTCAATGATGTAACTATTGGCTTCAAAATCCTAGAATCGGGAAAACCTGCATGTGACCAGTTGTGAACCATCTGGCAACTTCTACCCACTTGCTCTGTATCAGACTATGGGAGAGAGCAGCGAAGTCTGTTCTAATGGAGCAACCCTGTGAGTCTACTGCAGTGAGCATTTTGATGCCATCAGAAGTGTTCTCAACATTTAACTCGTGTCTTTGACCATTGTGGTATTTCCCCAGCTTGCACTTCCCTCTTTCAAGCCTCTCCTCTCATTTCAGGTTGCTGAGGATCAGAATCTGTATCAGGGATAATTGGATCTTTTCTCCTCCCACTTTTCTTCCGCAGACTTCATGGAATAAATCAGGCAACCAGCCCTGGACCAACAGCATTGCCAGGTACGGAGACACGATCACCAAAGAGCCGCTCTCTGCTGTGAATGGGTCACTGAAGCTCCCCTCCAGCGCTGGACAGAAGCTTCTGTTACAAGCTCTGGTTTATGATGCCGTGATGGTGGGTGTCTTACTGACTTGTGTATTCTGATGTGGTTTCTCCATCTGTGTTCCAAATCTCCTTTTCTCAGCACAGGAGAAAATGTTTTCTTCTCTAAGCCAGCTTTAGTTGGCTGATCACGGGCTTCGTTTCTTTCTTCCTGGCTATAGGAGTGTATGCCACTGCGACTGATGGAATCTGAGTAAAAGCCATTTGTTTTTTCCAAGCATCACTCAAAGCCTCATCTCCCCCCTGATCTCCCTGTCTTGACTCCAGCCAGCCCCTGAGGGCCTGTGCTGTGGGCTTGTTCTTTTGGTGGTGGTCAAGAGGGGTCAGACAGCTCGGGTGCCAGCAGGGCTGTGGCAGTCTCAGCTCCTGAGGACTCAAAGCTCCAGCTTTGAGGCTTTGTTGTGGCCGTGCATCAGGCAGCCTGTGGAGTGAGTGAGGAGCTGCAGGGCACAGCAGTCATTAAGATCTACAGGGTGCTCACCTGAAGGAGGGATTGCAGAGTGTAAGAGGAGTCAAAGATCAGGGGTTGATTTAAACTCCTTTTCCAGATAGGGTAGAGCAATTTCCACTGCACTCGTATTCTTTAGGTGGGTGCATAGATTGGGAGGAAATCCTCTTTCTGATATTGCTTCACTGGAATACATACACACTCCTGTGTTGGGGAGAGTTTGTACAAGGATCATGACCCGGAGCTGACACTGCTCAGATTGACTCTGGACCAGAAGATTTCTTTGGTTATTGGTTCAAAACCCTCCACCCCCAGCAAATACTTCTAAGTAACCTACCTGTGTTTCCTTCCTAGATACCAGTGTGAAAATCAATTATACACAGGATGTAATTAACATTGTGGATAGAGTCAAGTCAGTGTTTTACAACCCAATTACAGGGCACCGTTTACAGCACCGCTTACCCATCAGGGTTTGTCAACAAAAGGAGGAAGGTGTTAACATATGTAAATGATGCACAAAGTTGGCTTCAACAGAAAGCGCAAATCACACGTGGGGTATCACTTCCCTTCTTTCAGTTGTCTCCTTGCCACTTGAATCCCACTGAGCCCACAGTCTGAGCTCTTTGTGAGCTTCTGGAATAATGTGTCTCTTAAACAGGGGTTTTGTGTTATGTAGCTAAAATTAAACCATGGAAGTGAAGGGAGCCCAGGTATCTTGTTATGGGTCTGTATCGTGAGCTGTCTCAGAAGCCGGTTTCTTAGTGTGCTGCCCATTCACCCTCTAGAAATCTGGCCCTTAATATGGAAACAGACTGGAGAGTTTTGAGAGCTGTGGTCTTTGACAGAGGCTTGGAATGGCTGCTCCATCCTGCCAGGAAACGTGGACAAATCACTTCCCTCGTGTGGGACTTGCCTTTGCAAACATAAAATAGGAATAATGGTCCTGAGGTGATTTGAGATGCTTCTTAAGACTTCAGCTCTGAGAAACATATCAAGATAATGCTTACAGAGGCGTGTGTACATCCCATTGCACTCTATGGGATTAAAAGGCAATGCGTTTCAGTGCTTGCTTGGGTCACAGCCTTGATTACCTGAATTTCATTTACTTTACCTTCCTTGTATTTATTTCCCCCCTCTTTGATAACAGAATGAAGCCAGGAAGAGCCACCCTCCAGCCAGCCTCCACCAAGTGGAAGCAGAGGTCATTGTCCATTCTGATTTTTCCGCCTCTGACAGAGACTACGACTCCCAGCTGCACACCCTGGAGAGGGAGGAGACAGAAACTGAGGAGCAGGAGCCTGAAGAGCTCCCCTCTGGAGAAGGGACTCTTCCCAGTGATCCCGGTACCCAGCAGGACACCAGCCAAGTGGTGGTGGACTGCACGGGCAGTTCGGAGGTCCAGGCCCAGGATGAGCTGTTAGGTACCGACAGAAAGACTGACAAAACAGAGGCTGTTTGCACTGGGCTCACCAATGGCTTCCACAGGCATGGAGAAAGTCTGGATTCAGTGGAGAGTGGAGATTCAGACTCCATCCAGGAAGGTGAGGGGGACGTGCAGCCAGTCAAGTGCCAGTCCATCTCCACAGCCCCAGAGGAGGCCCCTCTCTGTAGTAACTCTGGTTTAACCTCTTCATCCTCAGCATCTGAGAACACGGCATGTGTCCACAACTGTTAGAGTGAACTAATCTGATTTTGATCATGGGAGAGCTGGAAGCACTAGGAGGGGCCTGTCCCTGTGAGGTGCTGCATGCCCTCGACTCACTGAGCCTAGCAGGAGCTAAGAAGGCACAGCATCCCACCAGAACAGGATTCGAACCTGTCAGCTGTACGTATTGCCTTCAAGAAATCAGTCGGTAGGCTGGTAAGGGCCCATCTTCCTGCTGTAGCTGATGAGTAACTTGGTGTTGGTGGGAGCAGGATTGAGCCATCTGCCAAAGTCTGACGTGAAACCAGGACTAGAACAGAGCCTTCAGTGTGAGACTGGGGCTGTCACTTCGCTGTAGTCCTCGAGGCGGCTGGCACGACGTCTTTTCCTGCTGGGAAGAGGCAGGGTACACCAAGTGATTCCTCTCAACTGTCTCTCCACCAGGCCTTGGCACTACCTACTGCCTCGCAGCTTTGGGATGGATCTTGTCACAGGAGTCCCACGAGGGGGTGGAAGCCAATGGAAACCAACTCAGCGAGCTGTAACCACCAGCCTGTTCTGCCCTCCCGTGGTTAAAAGGATTATAAGGCTCTCTTTGTGCGCTACCGCAGGACCTCTTTCTTGCAGGCTGATGTAGTGGCCTTTTATTACACACTCTACGAGTGCCTCTAACAACTTGTACTATATAGAACCTTCTTCAGTGTCTGGGTCGTTTCACCAACCTGGACTTTGGTTTATGTAGGTTCTTGTACCTAATATTTTAGGTACACGTCTGTCCTTTTAATGTACAACATGTATTTTTATTTCCTTGGAACATCTTTATATTATTTAATTTTATAAAATGGACTAGTGTGTGGTATAGAGTAGCATTTTTACTACTTCTCTCTTTCTTTATTTTTTCCTCCCTAACAACACAACTACCTCATGTCTGTTGGAGAAAAAGCAGTAGATCTACTCTTTTGTTAATGGTCCATTATGGGTTTTAACTTATTCTTGTGCTGCCTTTTTTCTGAAGAACATGTTTGCACTGGTTGTTGACTCCTTTTTGATGCCCAGAGCTGCAGATCTGGTGTCTCTCTTGCTTTGTTTCTAAGTAGTGCTGTAGGACACCTTCCCTACAGCTGGGAAGTTGGATTGTGTTTCTCCATGGGGCTGTGTTTTGCAGGAGCTGGCCGAAGGACACTGCTTCAGCTGGCAGGATGTTGATCCATCTTTCCTTAACAAGCTTTTACTAGTGAAGAGAAAACCAAGAACCAACAATTGCAAAAACACCTTGTGACCAGATGGAAAAAAGATCCAGCAATTGGGAAAGTCACCTGTGACTTGGGGACATCTCTTTCTTGGGGGGGTTTGTGCCCAAGTGGGGACACCTCAGATGATTTTGACTTCCAGAGAGCAGCTCTCAGCCTTCTGTAAGCAGTGATGTGCTGAAGGCTATGGATGAACAAGTGAAACTTCCCAGTCACTTCTGAGAGTCCAAAGTAGCCAGAGTGGGTTTGGTTTTGAGGCTTTGGGTTTTTAAGAGCTGAGCTCCACCAGAGCTTAACAATGAAAATCAGACCTTTGGTCTCGTATCAGTCTGATGTGAAACTCATCTGGTGACTCTTTGCTTACTCCTGACTCGTCTCTCAGCCTGGCTCTCCAGTGTGGGGTGAACGTTCCTCTGCCTTTACTTTAGCCTGTGTCTGCCTCGCTCCAGGCTTGCAGAGTTTGACTGTGAACACTACAGATCAGAGCAGCTCCTTGGGGTTATGGCCCCAGTTAACCAGAGTTACTGGTTGGTAATTCAGTGCGTTGGGTGCTTGGTAAATGTTGTGCCCTCCTGGAGCATTCAGAGATCTGGCCATTTGTTTGTTGAAAAAATGAAGGAAAAGATGCCCACCTTCCTCTTTTCTTACTGAAATTCTTATGGGGGAGCTGTGAGCTGATTGGAGATCCTGTAAAAGACTCTAGGCTTTGGGTTTTGTGGGGAAATCTGGACTGAGACTGAGATACCACTGCTTGCAGCAAGGAGAACCTTGCTGCACCGGCACCCTATCCTGCTGCTGTTGTGAAGAGCTGTTGTGCCCTGTGTTTGGAGCTGGGCTGGACCAGCCCATGTCCTTGCACTCCTCCATCAAACCCTGTTAGCTCCAGCTTATCAGCAGAGGAGGATATTGGAGCTTCCATCTCTCCCTATCCTGCAATGTCTCTGCCTGCCATGACACACTGCTCTGTTAAATGGCTGTACTTCCAGTCACTGCACTTGCTCTGTTACTTCAGCTGCTGTTTGGTACCCTGAGGAATCTCAGAAGTGCCATTCCATGCTCTGAAGTGCCATGGCTCCTAAAAGCTGTGGCACAGAGACTGGGAATTGGTGCCAGTGAGCAGGCAAGCCAGGAGTTAGTGTGAGTGCACTATCAGAGCAAGAGGCTAGAAAGGCAAGGAATCATCACTGGGCAGAGGAGTTGCGTAAATAAGCTCCAGAGCTCACTGCCACAAGCCTTTGAAACTAAGGACTTAGCAGGGTGACAGATAAGGCAGGGAAGTGTTATTGCAGGCAATGAGGGTAATTCACAGTTACATGGGAGCGGATGCAATTGCAGAGGTATAAACGCTTCAGCAGGGAGTACTGAGCACTCGCTGCAAAGGGTGGGGAGAATTGTGCAGCTGGACCTCAGCTCGCAGCTGGTTTCATGGAAGAGTCCTTGTCCTTCCCCAGTGACAGAACAGACCCTGTACAAGCCACAGGACCCTTTTCCTTGAAGCTCGCTCCAGAGGAACCCCTGGTGGCTTCCTTTCACCTCCCAGACCAAGTCATCTACGAGCATGCCCAGGGACCACTTCTGCTGAGCATCAGGCTGCTGGGGAGAGGAATAGGGTATGACCAGGGCACCAACGGAGAAGTTCTGGTTCTCTTCACTATACCTGTTGTTCATGTACCAGCCCTGAGCTTTCCGTCTGTGGGGATGGAGGCTTAGCCCTGTCTCAGGAGTGCCGCTGTTTCTGGGGTGCTCCTTTGTACACGTACCCTCTGCTTTGTCTGTACTGACTTCTGTAATCACGTAGCCGTAGGGTGAGCATTCCTGATCCGCCTAAAAGCTCTCCCTGCCTGTCACTGAACCCAACAAGCAGGCACAGCGCGGTACCATTCTCCTGGATCACTGTGAGTCGATCACAAAAACACCAGGTTAGTTACATGCTCTGAGAGCTTTGGGGGAGATGCAGCAGAGTGCAAACACTTCTGCTTATGAATCACAACAATACTTTGTCTCCTCGTGCTGATGCCTACACTGATCTTACTGCACGCCACTGAATTGTACCAGTGTGATACTGGCAGCGTTTGGATGCCTGAGGATTGTGGTGGCCGGGGAGTGCTGTGCCAGACCTCGGTACAGGAATCAAAGCAGTTCCTTCAGAGCCAAGAGATCACCACCACCAGGCAGCAGTGAAGCTGCTCTCTGGATGAGCACGTGTCCATGCAGAATACTGGGTGTCCTCGTCTGCACCCCAGGTCCCTCCTGTCCTGAACATCCAAGGACCTTTCTAGTCTCAGCTGGAAATGAATGGAAGATGGATAATACACACTGCATGTGTGGGGCTGAAAACAACCAGTGCATCTATTTTTTTATCATGAAATAAGATTTCTCGCAGACACACAAACTGTCAATACCTTTAATTACCCATCGTGCTTAATATGTGTTCCTACCCATCAGACTCCTTTCTCCCATCCTCTCAGTAACACTAAGGGTTATTGCTATTCAACTTTCTGCTGGTGTATATTGTTTGACATAGTTGAAATGTCAGGTTTGTCTCACTGGCATAAGTTTGTGGTAGTAATGTTCCTGTTTGGCTACACAACTGTATATTCCCCGTGCTGCTGCGAGAGTCACAATCTCATCCTTCTGTTTCTTTTAATCAATTTTATTACATGAAGCACTTGGATAAAGTCTCAACTTTGGGTTGATTTGGTTTCTTACTTAAGAGACGGCAAAGTTCTGCTTTAAATAGTTCAAATGAGAGAACTTCTAATCTAGGATTTGAGGGGGTTTTACGTTACTGGCTAACAGCCCATGAACTCTGCTGTGCGAGAAAACCACCACTTTAATAGAGCACTATATATGGTTTTGATCTCCTTAGAAATAGGTGTTTTGAAGGGATCATTGTGTCTTTTCTAATCCACGCTTTTGTTGGAAAAGAGGTGTTTAGTCCAGCAGAAATCTGCCATCTAGTTCTGTTACTGTGTTCTCTTGCTTGTATTTTACAATCAAATTTCATTTTGTTTTCTACCCAGTGCATAAGGATGTGTAACCAGAACTTGATCTCGTTTGAAGATTGTGTCTGTGGTTGCTTCCATGCTGTACTTACTTATATCTTTCTTTCTTCAGAGACTGTTCTTACTCCACAAATACTCTTTAGTGTTAAAGTGTAAGAAGACATTGTCCTTATATTCCTTAACTAATGGGTTATTAATAAAATGCTTTAAGAAAAGAGTGGGATTTGTTTCACAGTTCAGTCTGTTACAGCCCACTCTGAAAGCTCTGGAAGGCTGGTCCTGCAGTGTGTGTTTGGAGGGGCTGGAGCCTAGGAAATGTGCTGTTAGGTGCTGGATTTCAAGGTGGGCACCATTTGGGTTCATGAGGCGTTTCCTGATGCTTGCTCATGTCTCAGTTTTGAACTGATTCCTGTAAGGAAATGAGAAACTACTTGTCCAGGTTCCTGCTGCATCCTGCTGGGGAATTTTGTCACCTGGAAAACCAGCAAAAGCATCCAGCAGATGAACAGTGCCACTTCTCTTGGGTGGCGTGCTGGGTTGAGCACAGTTAAGCTGTGCCCAGTGAGGTTGGCAAGAGGATATCCAGCACTAGTAACCTCCCATGCATCTCCATTTCTTTCTAGGATGCATTCCCTACTTCCGGAGATAGTTCCCATTATTATTTTATGCTGCCAGGACTAGAGAGCCATAAAATCTCATTTTATCTGCATTACAGAGGTAATAAATCTGTACCAGACATAGTGTGCTCTGGTAGTGGTTAAAGGGAGATCCGTCAGGCTGCCTAACTGTGATGAATCTTTCTCCTAATGACAGGTAACCCCACAAAGGAGCAAGGAAGGACCTTTGGGCGGTGATGGGTGGCTCCAAACCTTCCAGCTCTGTGGTGTGAGATGCTGGTGGGAGGCTGATAAAGGGGGACAAGGTGGGATGGCATAGGTGAACAGAGGGATGGAGGGATGGATGGACGGACACAGCAGTTACAGGAGAGCTGGGACCATGGAGAAACGAAGGTAACAGCAAGGTGTTTGTGTTTCTCTCTTCCCAGCCTTTATCACCCTGGTACTCTATGAGATGGCGCAGCTGGGCAGTATTACTAGAGTGGCCTCAGGTAACTCCGTAGGTCACAAGAGCCCAGTGTGGTCTGTCAACCAGCTGAGCCCTTTGGGAAATGACAAGGCTTGAAGTGATGTGCTGTGTGATGCAGCCAGGGATGCTCTGCGGATGCTCAGCAGACACCAGTGGTGGAAACTGCATCTTGAGAGGACTGCTCCAGCCTCCGCTCCTCCAGCAAAGCACTGGAGCAGCAGGAACATCAGCACAAACCTCTGTGGCTTGTGTGGCAGGTACAGTTGTGTGGGTCTCATTGCTGGTGCTGGCTCTCCACACTCATTTCCACCACTGGATCAGTGGCACAACTGCTTCCAGTCAACAGAGAGCACTCAGCTCCTCAGCCAGGCAGCCAAGTGCCAGGAGCCATCCTGTCACTGTGGTGACAAGCATTGGCTCCTGTCACTGTGCCTCCTTGTGTCCTTACACAGCAAAAAGTGGATGGAAAAGGGTTTCTGTCAGTGAAAGCAGCTTCCAGGAGCATGGCCCAGGGCTGTCCCACCACTGCTGGGCTGGCTGTCGGCTCAGTGGGTGCCATGGTTTTGGTTCCCTCTCCTTGTTGCTCGTTGACCACAAACAGATGCTGCAACCCTGCGTGTATACATAAGTGAAAAGCTCCCAGGCTGTTAGCAGACAGGGAAACCACAATTGCACATTGAATAATAAATGGAGTGAATTCAGACAAGTTAATCTCCCACTTCATCCGCTGAAACTACTAATGGTGTCTTGGGGACCTCAGTTTGCCGTTAATTGGTGTGAATCAGGAGCAGTGCTGGAAGCTGATGGAAATCTGCTGTGAAGGAGTGAGGGCTGACAAACACCATCAGGGCAGCTGCCGTGGGGGGGTAACCTTTTTGGGAGGGAGGCCGGATGGATGGACAGACCCTGTGCCCCTCTGCGGGAGGGAGGAGGGAGCG